CCACGCTATCAGAGCCAAGAAACTTGACACCGAGATCCACAGTATCCTACGGCTCAATGACACAATCCCCGTCACTAAGCGAACAGTGGCGATGTCATTCAACCGCGCTTGAGCGCCTCAGCATACAGCTGACTTCCTTCAAATGTGGAGCGTCGGCCAATTATGCCAGACGCTCCGGAATTAATAAGGATCTTCCATGGCTTCTCAAAGCTATTCACGTTCGCTTTTACGACCAGAAAGCCCGGCTTGCATATACTTTTCGTTTTCGAAAGCACGGAGCTCTTCGGGGCTGGGCCCTTCTGCCCTCTACCTCTTTAAGACACAATAGAACTCAGTTCGTTCCCGGTAGATAGCCCGCAGCTCGTAGCTCTCCCTCCTCTTTTTTCAGCATTGCTGAGATCCATTGGCTCAGGCTCGCTCGACGATCTCTAAGGGTGTGCATTCAAACCATGTCGTGCCGACTTAAAGTTGAACTCGGCATTTAATATCGAATTTACCGCTTCTTTAAAGAAGACGAACGCACACGAAAGACTTCCTTTCTGGTCACGTCCGTGCGAAGTCTCTCCATTAAGACGGTCACTACGACCGCCTCGGGAGAGGATCGGCTGTCGTCCCGGCAGTGAGAACCCTCAACTCATGGGCAAAGTCCACCAACTGCTTCTTGCCATGTCGGGTGTCAAGGAAACGCGATCACGCTTAGTAAAGCGGCAAGAACAGTCGTGAAAGCTGCAGCTACAGCTCCCTCCAAGAGAAGGATGCCGAATTAACCCAAGTGACGCACGTAGGTGGCCATTCTCGCGTTTGTTTTCTGAGCATGGAGACAGGAAGCGCCACCCATTCTGGAGCATGTCTGATGCCATAGCTATCTCGGCCTCTCTTACCCAGAGCAAGAGATTCTCTACATCCTAACCTTCGAAGTTCGTAAAGCATACCACAATCGGCCTCGGTTGGAAGGAGTCATTCGTCGTCGACAGTGGCGTCATGGTCGCTGTCGATTCCGACGGCTTCTGTTGTAGGTGCTCTAGCAGAGCAATTTCATAGCTTAAAATCGCCTCTAGGCGCGCGTTTATCGCTTTGGGACACCTTGTAGGCGTAGATTGACTGCATGTGCTACCAAGTGCAGTGGGGTTGTCGTAGCTTTTTGCTTAAAGGAAGTTTAGCTAAGGTCACCAATCTTACGTTCTATACAAGAACCAGAACGAGTGCAGCGGATCAAAAATCGCTGCCTCCAAGAGTACTTAAAAACTATACCAAAGTAGCGCCGCTTTTCCGTTCAAAAGTTGAATCGTATGTGATTGTTCTAGTTGCGGCAAAGCCTCCAATATCCAAAAACGTTAGGTTTTCCTGATTAATATAGTAATACCTTATTAGTATAGGAAAACCTGATTAATGTGCATCACTTCTGGCAGTCCTGCCACGTAGTGGCTTGTAGCCACACTATTGTGATTATGTAATCCACACCTGTGTACGGTCACACCATCTTGGATGACTCGCCCTTTCACAGAAGAATCTGTGTTACCCCGATACAGTCGACGATTATTGCCATCATTGCGGTATGACATATCTCATGATCCATACGACGCAAAATGCGTTCGCCACCATATTTTGTCGACCAAGCCTGCCCTTCGTCTCAGAGGTATACTCAGCATAGAACGATATTTTCCCGCCATGTCGTGGCGGTGTCGATAGCATACGTGATCTCGCACATCACACACTGTAGCCTGAAACCCAACAGTTGTATAATGAACCTAACAAGAGGATACTAAATGGCCTGTACCTCTTTATCATTGACGAGATATATTTTCTCTTTTGCTTCAAGCTGAAAAAAAACCAACGCAAATCCGCGTTCAATTTCAATGGCATCAGCTTGAGTCAAAGCACGGCCTAAAGGTTTCCATTAAAACACGAAAAAGTGGAGTCATTGCAGATGCTACGAATGAGGTATTGGCAGGGCAAAACATGCTAGCTAAAGATCAGGACTCAAAGAAAAGAAACAGGGCTCTATGTAATTCTAATCAAAAATACTAAAACGTTAGAGCATAACTAGATTATAACTGAATTACACAGGATCAATTACATTACAAGCGCAGCAAACAGCTCAGAAGCATTACACAGATTCCAAACGCGAGACGTGTTGATCATACTCGAGTGAGTACGGCGAGCAAAAAAGGGATCGCATGAGGACAAGGACTTTCAAACTGAAGACCATTGGTTCTGGCAAAATGGATAACAAACTCAAAACAGCAATTTCACAGCAGGATTTAAATATATAATTGCCCTAGATTTGACGAACTCAAAAGCTACACACTGCTCGGACATACTTGATTCGACGCGTGAACGTTGGACGTGGGCCAAACGCTTGCATTGCTACAGCTCGTTCCAGTCGAAGTTGCAGACTTGGGGTTGAAATTTCCGCTTAACTCGCGGATATACAGCTTCAAACTCCACATAACCCTGAGTGTGGAAACGGGTCATAGAGACACCATAGTATATTAAATTTATTGTTTCGGTCGTACAGCTTGGCTTTCGTTACTACGGGCTTGCTGTGCATTTGCTTACTTTACATTATGCGCGGGTGACTCGACAAGCACGGAGCTCTAAATGTAGTGGCAACACCACCGAGACCGTTCGGGAACGCAAAACAAAACATCCTGACTTAATCTCTATACAGTCCGTATCTAGCGTCTAATAAATACATTTGGTCCGGGCGCTAACGTTGTCGCCGCGTCCGTATGTCATCTGTCAGTCTTGGACATCGCAAACTTATTGTCGCAGCCGGTTGTGATCGAGACAATGTCCGATGCGCAAAACAGGAGGCAAATAAAATACTGATTCCGTTTGGTCCCACCATTGCAGCTGATACATATTTTTAATCTTATTTCGCCACTTATACACATTTTGGCAATGCGATAGCATCACCATGTTCAGCATATTTACGCGGGAGCTTGATACGCCAGCGATTCAGTTCAAGCCCTTACTTTTTAATTAGAGATATTTATTTTCTGATACAGCTTTGATCCATCTCAGCTTTGGTCACAGCAGCAAAATCCCTGATGCTCAGAAGCTTCCGTTTTGAAATTTTTTAAACAGTCTTAACGATAAACAATGCGACAAAACCTTTGTTGTCTGAGCTAGGTCAACATTTTATTTAAAATCCCACCCTGAGTCTAATCTGAATTGCTAGTCTTCTATAAGGGGTCATACCATTGGCTTTAAATGAGAGTTAGAAGCTAGGTACCATTCAATCGACAAAAGACGTGTATTTAAAGTACTCCAACAGATGTAGCACCTGTGGACGCAAAACCGTTCAGACGCGAAGACATCATGAAAGGCTTTGGACATATTAATCGCGTGCTGACAAAGCGACGGCATCACGCTACTTCCCCCCATGAGGATCAGATGTCGCATTTGATTAAATATATTCCCGCTTTGTTACTAGAAATCTAGGAGGCTTGACGCTAAATGTATCTGTGCGGACACCACCCGTAAACACAAATACCATTTTTGATTTTGGTAAAGAGCCCCACTTAAAGAGCTTTGATCTCTTAATCGCAATCCAGCTATTTATCCCTGGCAGATACGTAAGAGCTTAGACGACACCCGCTTAGTCTAATTAGGTTAGAACATCTTCTGTACAAGTTGGGTTGGGAGCGCCTCGACGATTGGGAGCCTCATTAATACGGGCAATCTCTTTACTTGAGGGTTGCTAGCGTGTCACTAATTGAAACATAGTCGAATCCATGGCCATCACATACCTCGTGTACAGAAGGAGGGTTTCACAACCATTGCCCCAAAATATCATACCGCTTAACACATCCAATGTCGCTTTAAAAAATTATGACGGTAATTCTATCGGCTGTGATCGAAAGTTTCCCGGATGTGCCCCACTTGCAAAAGCTTGTAGCTGGTGAAAGCCTACCGGCAAGTGTAACCGATTCTTGATGTCGGATGACTAGTTGAGTTACCCCCGTTACTGACTTACGACAAGAACTTATTAAGCATGTCTTGTTGACCTGAGAAATATCCAAAAAGCATTTATAACCAAGCCTCGAAAAAGATGTGGACTGTGAATGACTTGGCTATCGGATTGACAACGTGGGCTACCAAGGGAAACAGGATGCCAGTGACACATGAACATAGCACTCTATCGACACGTAGAGGTTGCGTTAACAAAAGCATAGGGGCGGTGCAAAGTCGGACAAAATGAAGCACTAAAACCTCAAACAAATGTATCTTAGGATGAATAAGGCATGATTATATACAATTTTTGCGATATTTTGTTAAGGGTATGAGCGGTGGTAGAAAGAGGATAATGAAGATAGAGGAGTGGAAGAAAAGAAGAAGCCGAAAAAGGAAATAGAAAAGGGGAGAATATAATTTGTGATGACGCAACTTGATACTTTATCAATAATATAATCACAGTCCTTTCATCAATACTTAGCTTTCCTGCTCATGATTAAAAATCAATAAAGCGGCGCGTAAATCAACTCCAAATACCCAGAAATACTAAGTGTTCATCCTTCGATCGCCTCAGGGCTGTTGAGATTTCACCGCTGAATGCTTGCTGGACAGACGACTCACGTCATAAGGATACCGTTCGTGTCTGGCCATGGTTACGGACACAATGATTACGGACACAATTCGGTAAGTGATCGCGGACGCAACGGCAGGCGCAGATAGGCTTTAGAGAAATCAGAATCTAGTATAGTGAGCCTGGTACGAAAAATGAGTGGCTCAGAGGTAGCAAGCGGTTTTGCGAGCTAAGAACCTAGAATATATTCACTTCACATTTTTCTATTTGTACAAACTTCTCCAAAACCAACAAGGGTCGTTTCAGAAGAATTTTAACACTAAAAGATGACAATACATTTGGATTGGATATTAATTCTGACTATCTCACTCAAATCCCATTTACTCCGACTATTTACTACTTAACATTAGTATTAGCTCTTGAGTATCTCGTTTTGCGTCGTAGAACGACCACTAAAACTGTCCACTGTCTAAGTTGCCACGACAGCCCCGCTCAGTTGGTAATTAATGATGACAGCGGCAACATACAAAAGAGACAGTAACTCACAAAAATTAGGTTTCTCATAGTCTACAAATACAGCATAGGAAACTTTGGGCACTGCGATCAAAGCCGTCACACTTACACCTATCATGACCACACGGCCTGCAATAAACCAATGCAAAGTATTACTAGAGGCCTCAATCAGTTCTACTTTTTTTTGCTTCTATCACGGGGGCAGCTGTTCATCTTGTTGTAGCGAAGGACTTTCATCATTGACCGCATTCACAAACTCAGTGGATGAAACAATACTTTTACCATCCTAACAAAATGGACGGAGATATGCGACCGGTTCTGTGAAATTATATTTCTCAATATACTCAACAATCGGCAGTTCTAATCGTGAGCCGCATAGCACACGTTTGCTTTAAAAGGCTGGTAGAGGAAAGTCTTGTGCGCTATCTCAACGTTAATGATTCATGTATCGCTTCCGACGCAAAACCTTATCTTCACCGTGATACGATTAATGAATTTGCGTTTTAAACAAAACAAAAGTGGTTCTCTAAGAACTTAACGAAAAGTTCCAGTGTTACAGTACGCTCTTCGCTTCTGTGCATCTGTCATCTTAAGTAAATCATGAGAAATACCTAAAGCGGGAACCATATCACGCACCGGTAAAGTTGTTCTATTTAAGATCTCAACCATGTTGATAATATAATGCAACATGGTTATCGTGTACTTTGCAAAGAGGTAGCTTTGACTCTCAGAGTCTGCGTCAGCAAGCGCATAGGGTTTGGTTTCGTGCGCTTCAACGAGGATCTGATCCAAGAGCCACCAAGGAAACCAGCACTCTTAGTTTACTCGACTTTTTGATAACAGTAAACGCACTCAAACGTTCGTCACGTTGTCGGCAGCTTCGATATCTTGTCACATACGTTTGTGGTACTTCCAGACGCGCTACAGTGTTCCTGATTGAACAAGACGCATCCGTTTGACGCGGCAGCAACAGTTTACGCACTCAACGTTCGTCACGCTGTCAGCAGCTGAAATATCATGTCACATACATACACTTAGGATTACCATTACATAGCAGTATTACTCTATATAAAGGTTTCATTATCTCTTGTCTTTATCTTTTAATTTGCGGTCAGCTTACCTCGATTCCCTCCTTTTTATAGTTCCATAGTTTTCATGAACCCCGATACAAGAATCTTCACAATTACTGCAATTGCAATGTGAATTTCGGACAATTGCACCACATTGTCTTGTTACGATTGTGTAAGGTTTAATTTAGTTACTTACATCGGGTCCAAAGAGCTTGCGCTAGAGAAAGCTTAGTCCTAGCTTGTTGATTTCAGTTGCATGAAGTCTCCGCAGGACTTGCCTCATAAAAAGCGCGTCTACAAATTCAGAGCGGTCCTTCGCTTTCAAATATTCTCGAGCTTTTCCCCAAAATCCAACTTACCTGTATATTTCAGGTCAAGAAACAATCAGCTGCCACTTTGTTTGCTTTTATACGAACGTTTTCATGTAAACGTCGTAACGCACTCGTTTATTTTTTTTAAATCTTAGTTTAAACCCATCGCTTGTTAAGCAGGTATAAATACGATACAATTTAGCATTTGTGTTGACATACTCCTATATCAGAAGTGGTGGAAAAGCTCCGAAAAAATATCATCCCAATCCATTCCCGATTCTAAAAAACGACAATTGACTGTGTAAGAGACATTTTTGAGGCATTCTTGATTTTATTCTTGTTCATTCGGAGCCGGGAATTGCGATCAAGATTGGAACAGGAATCACTTGTTGCAAGCCAAATGCTAATCTGGCATTCCAATGCTTTGATCGAAGCTTCATACAGAGAGAGTTTTCAAACTCAATGTCTCGACAAAGAAAGCGATTATTTCATTCAAATGCTAACAGAGTCGTAGATTTGCCAAGAAAAAAAGGAAGTCATGTAAAAGCTTGAAATGCTGCATATAACTCAAGAACTATGACGTTCCGACTATGATTTGTTTAGTGTGTCGTGCAATTTCACTTTTTTAATTGGCTTAATGTTTGCCCTTCCTTGAGCAGTGCTGTTAGTTGGCGTTGAAAAGTCGTATATATCCATCACGACAGCCCCATTTGGCCTACTGCCACTTCCAGGAGTAGCGAGACCACGATGTTGATTCGACATAAATCGCGACGGGTACAGTTGAGCCAGCACCTTGTCTTGATTTTCCGGTGCTCGTGCCACTCGAAACACGCAAAAGCACAGGACTATGACAAAGAGAACGACTGTGAACGCGAAAAGAGCGAGACCAGCTGGACTATCAAACACCCAAGTGTATATGGCATAACCAAACGATTGATCCGTGATCAAAGAGTTGTCGAAATTTGCGTACGGAGTTTCATAATGTTCAACCACAAGCTCAAATGTTGAGCTCTCTCTATTTTTTAATCTTCTCTGGGCAGTGGACACAGTAAGCTCAGATGTGCTAGTAGTCGAAGGATAGTCAGTATGAACAACCACCCAAAAATCGCCAGAAAAAGACGAGTTCGGTATTTCGACAACTTGAGATTGAGAACCATTTGGAAGGGAAATATACGTGAAATCGTACATTGATCGCGGAAGAAGCTCACTAACGTAAACACTAGGCGTGACCCCTCCTAATCCTTGGTTAACTGCTTGGAGTAACAGACGCAAACCCACTCCTACACGAAGAGGCTCAGGGACACGAAACATCAAGACCTGGCCACGCGCTAAAGTGAAGTTAGTGTTACAAGAAGAGCACAAGAACGTGACATTTTCGGCTGCACTCCATAGCTTAGTCAGCTCGAAACCGATGGGAGAGTTACAAGAAACACCAGTCCAGCCAGTCTCACACTGGCAAGTTCGAGCACCATCTCTCACAATACATTGTCCGTGTCCATGACACTCGAGTTCGTCTTCATCAAGACCACACGCTAAGACAGTCGACGATTGTACTGTATTGACATGTACTACGGCCTTCAGTTCGAAACGTAGCGCTGCTCCGGAAACCTTGCGATTGTGTACTGCAACCTTGAAGCAGTCTGAACCACTTTGTGCAAATGTACAAATTGTCGTGACAGGCACTACCACAGTTTGTCTCGTAAAGCGTGAAGCAATCGCATTAAAATCCTGTAAAGATCTAGATGCTAATGAAGGAAAGCCAGAATCACTAGGATCCCGCACAAGTAGAAGCGGCCGCACTGGAGTTTCCGCCCCTTCAATATCGTTTTCAATCAGTAGGGTGAACTCGACTGCCTTTGCTTCTGTATCGTCGACCTCAAAAGTAAAATAGACCCATTTGCCGACAGCTAATGTTTCAATTGCTGTACTTTTGTACGCCTCATACGAAGGCAACCTGCTGGCAATAAACAGTTTTGTCAACTTAATTCGCGTAGATTGTAGTGAGCAGAAGCGGCCACTAAACTCAGCCGAGCATGTGCACAGTTTACTTGATAATACGCTGCACGCCCCTCCATTCAAACAGACTGCCAGGCTTTCATTGTCGTCTCTGGATATCTGAGTACTTCCACTGGCCGGTGACGTCAAATTTGACTCCAGTAGAACCTTATTAAATCCGTCAACTAATGTTGAGATTTGACAATCTTCCGCGGCGTTCACAGTAAGACGATAGCTTAGCGAATCTCGAGCGTATCCATTATTATATACTCCAATGTAATATAGACCTGAACTGAGCGTCGAAGAAGCCCGTGAAAGAACAATCTTGCGCGTTGACGCAGCTGTAGCCCAGCCGCTGACATCTGCAAACTGGGTAGAAGTCGCTGAGGTGGAAGAATCTGATGATAATTTTGGTAACGTTTCACGGCGAACAAAGAGCATGGCATCTCCATCAGACGTAATTTGATCTAAGTACACAACTAGCACTCTCCACTTATCTTGAACAGTAATGGTGTACAAGCCCCAGTCTCCGCGTTCAATTTGTAAGTCCAGCAGTCCAGCTTCAATTCTAAAAGGACCACGAAAATGCTGAATGTATGCCACTGATGGTACTAGTTCTTGGCAAAGAGCTTGGGCGGGAGTCCTGGGCGGATCGAAGGCAAAAGCTTCGTCACAATTACAGGCAGGGTCGAAATTTTCCGTCACTCGGCATACACCATTTCCAAAACATTCCGATGTGTTGCGCAGCGAGCTGATTCCTATCGAGACGCTTGCGGGGGCACTTGACGACCCTTTCCATACAGTAGCATCCAAACATGTACCTAGATCTTGACAGTCTGGTCCACATTTCGGCACACTACAGTCATCGCCACTCCAATAGCGATCGCAAGTACATACACCTGGGATGTTTCGACCACAACTGCCATGTCCAGAGCAAGTGACACCGCGACATTTGTCCGTTTCCACACGAAAATGTACTGTTGACTGTCCTGCAGAGAACCCGAGCAACGAAAGGTAAAGGTACCCGGGTGCTGCTTGCAAATAAGACGCGGTAGTTTTTTGGCAAATACGCGACGTCGAGTTAAGGCCTCGAGGAAAGATACCTAGTGATCCACAAAGATGAATTTCATCACTCACATTCACATCTCTAGTGCTTATGAAACGAATGCTACTAGGAGTCATTGCAGTTGGGAAAGGATCATCAAATGACCCGTATAAATCTACGTCTGTCGAGCTTGGGGTTCCAACAGGGTAGTCAACAATGAACGTAACATCATATGAGCTTGCCTCCAAAAAAAATTTAAAAAACTTGTATTGCTTTGAAAGGACAGTAGCGCTGACACCAACTTCAGTCAGCAACGTTACCGCTGGATTCGAAGCAACCGAGCACACGACGCCAGAAAACCCTGCGGTGCACGTACACGCTCCCGACTCACAGTTACATTTACCATGACTTCCACATGATGAACTCGTACAGCCAGGTACGCATTCACACGCAGCTCCTGAATATCCATTGTGACATATGCATAATCCAGAGTCTGCATTACAAACGCCATTGCCAGAGCACTGCGAGGTATTTTTGGTTCCAGTCTCGATGGGACACAATAACTCTGAGCAGCTCAATCCCGCAAAGCCGTTCGCACACTTACACTGTCCCGTGCTTCGATCACAAATACCCTGTGTGGTACCACTACATTCAATATCTTGATCGCTGCTTGGACATTGAAAGCCAGAGCAATCGTCTCCAACACGGCCTGTGAAGCAATCACATTTTCCATTGGCAAGGCGCACTCCATTTCCCGAGCATCGATCTTGAAGAAGCTGACAGAGCTGCGTGCTTGGTGGACAAAGCAACGTTCCTCTATATCCTGCGACCTTGATCTCACCACCTTCGGCTGGACAAGACACTTTAACTCCGCCAATCGATAGTATTAATGCCGTCGCTGAACAGTCCAGCACCTTGTAACAAGTGGGTCGGAGATCAGCAGTGCTACTGGAAGACTGACTAAGACTAGATTCGAAACATTTACTAGATAAGCCAACCTCTTCCATACGATTTGTAGTGTCCACTTGAGTTGCCGATCGTCCAACTCCACGGCAATCGCCATTGTTGTAGCCGCGATAAAAAGGACAATAGTCTGCATAGGTGTCCCGACCGCCAAAAACAGGATCTTTAAAGTACTGAAAGCCTGCAGGGATGCTTGAGCTGTAGCTCGCGACGTCGCAATAGCCTTTAACATTATAGTCGGCCGTACATCCTCGCTGACCAGCATTTGTGCACAAGTAGCGGTCGCCCCATTGTGAGCACCTTGACTTTGCCATACCACAGCCTTCGTGATACCCCCACGGAAGCGGTTGCGCTTGAGAAAAGCTCGCGTCATACCAACCACTATCTGCAAACAATGCGAGCGTGAGAGTCGAATAAACTGGATCGTACGCACTAATGGCACTCATGTACTCGTTCATTACAACGCGCTTCTCCCAGTGTGAGCTAAAGGATGCACCTCCTTTCTCTCCATTCTCTAGCTCGAGTCCAGCATCCGACCAGTCAAAGCAATTGAAATGTTGTTTGACGCGTTCAACAACCTGCGGTGTAACGATTTTACTTACTGTGACGCCTCCTGTCCCTTGTGTTTGTACGACTACGTTTTCATATTTCCAGAGTGCTCCATTTCGTGGCTGACGAAAGTTGGCAAAAAGGCGTTGAGAGAATACCAGCGCATGGGTCATTTCGTGCAAAGCCGTTCCTACTTGTTCTGCGCGACTAGCACCACTGGTTCCGGAAGGGTTTAGACGTGCCGGGCTAAAATTGGCTTGACCAGAAATGGGTCGACCAAATTGATCCAAGTTACAAGGGAGCGCCCAAGCGATCACCGAGCCAGTCGTCGGACGAGCTGTGACATGCAGTAAATAGTCTGCGTTAGCCACGCCGTTGGAGCGATACATAGCTGGAATCGAGCTTTGACAACAAGCCCAATCGGTGGTGTTTGAGCACGACAATCCATTGACGACAAGATTTCCTGCCACACGCTGAACAGAAAGAATGCTCCCAAAATAATTTGCGATAGTTTTGAGAAGAATCGAGGTGAGAAACTCTTTTTTAGCAAGCGTAAGTATATCTTCCTGGGAGCAGATATACGCCTGATCATCGAGTTCCACGATCTCACCCACTTTCTCGCACTTGTAGCCAGGGTCGCTATACGGTGAGTAACCAGCACAGGTTCAGTGATAAAGAACAAACGAAGCTTAGCCAGAATACCTTACGATGATAGCTTGGAAACGTCAAAAACAATTCGAAGTGGCTGAAATACTGACGATATTCCGGTGGCTTTAAGCTTGCGATAAGTCGGCGAGAATCTAACAGTGTCCAGGAACACGGACAAATAATAGTCACGCACTGAAGTCTGGCTTGATATCTCGTCTATAACAAAGTTTTGTGGAGCGACAACTGATTCCAAGTCCACAGAAAGTTCAAATTCAGCAACTTTTCTATCGTGTATGCAGTCATGATGAATATGCATTCGTGCATCGGCCAATCTTGCTGTTATTGGGTCCAAAGAAATCAATTTGCTGATCGCAATAAAAACGATAGCCGCATGAAGATATACTTTCTTGCCATCACTCAGCATGTCGTTTGTTACTGAGTCCAGAATTCGGAAGTTTCATTGCTTGGTAAGAAACGATCGGTAAAAATAATGAAATAAGTCGTTTCTATAAATTGTTAGTGAATGTTTGGACTAACGCTGTCGTCGACCCAACGAATGCAATACCCTTCTGCATCCCCGGAAAATAATTGACGTTGTTCGGAACCGAGAGTCAGCGCCGTAATCTTCGAACGATGGTCAAGAAGCAGCTTTAAAATAAATAGCTGGCACGAAGGCACCACGTGAGTGTGAGCATTCGACCGATCGTCTTGGTTCGAGATTGATACGGGAGAGGTGATAGAATCCATACGGTTGATGCTGCTTGGTGAGCTGCTCATAGGTCCTGATACTTGTGAAGACTCAGCGTATTCATCTGTAATTTCTGCTTTTATCTTTTCCTTCTTCTGCCGTGATAAATCGACTAGATACCGGATCCCCCATAAAGCAATTGCTCCATTCACGTGTCCAGTGACGGCAATCACTCCGTTTTGCCATGAGTCACAACGAGTCGAAATTGCACAAGACTACGTCAAGTGGATAAACAAAAATAATACAAATAGGCACGTTAGTCAGGTAGTGCACATATTGCGCTTGAGGGACTTACAATATCATGAAGACCAAACGTGGCTGAGCTTGATGCTGCAAGAAGGTCTCCGTTGATACTCCATAGTCGTAGTTCCGAGTTCGTGGTTGTTAGTACATTTCCATTTGCACTATTGATAGAAGCGTGGCAAACTGTTGCTGTATGGCCGGCTAATTCTTGAAGGAGCGCGCGCGTTCGCAAATCCCATAGCAGCACGCTACGATCGGCCGAGGAACTTGCAATCAAATTTAACTCCTAAATCAATAAATTGTTCACAGCGTTAATCCTGACTTTTATATTGCAGGAGTTTGGATAGGTGACCATACCGTGTTGATGGCGACGCAAACAACAGCATCATTATGGCCGACAAACTTTGCCACCTGTTTGAATACTCGTCGACCGTCCGAAGCTTTGGAGCACTCAATTAGATTGACAACCGCATCTTGGCCTCCTGTGACAAGAAGCGCTCCGTCCTCTGAAAGTGACGCGCAGTTAATACCATCATTATGTGCTCCTTCGATGACAGCTAAAGTTTTACTGGCTTCGCGATATCGACCAGTGCCTGAACTTTGCTGGTACACACAGAGCCTGATGACTCCACTACGACTTCCCCACTCCAAGTACTTTGCACATCGGGGTGGCATAAAGCAACATCCGACACCTAAGCACTGCATTTTATCGTGGACAAGCTTGACATCTCCAATGGCCACACCATTCACTGACGCAGATAGAGCCGAGTGTTTCTTCATAAATACATACTCTTTACCAATTGCAACGAGTGCAGGAGCTAGTGGAATATGCCACTTGACATATGCTTCAATAGTACTGAGTGACATGCTATCGTGCTGATGACCCACGGAGGAATTCAGCTGTGATGTCGCCTCAATTGTTCCACCGCTTGATGTTGTACAAACGAGCATTGGAACTTTACGTTGAGGGTGGGGACTTGAAAAGAGTTGTGACGGGGTTTGACCGAAATTTTCAATTTGCGCCAGGGTTGCAGCTCGCATGACGGGGTCCGTGATCTGCTCGATGTCGACAGTTCCCTCGTATGTAAAGTGCATGAAGACATTTTGAGCATCAGCTGCAACCTGACCCTTCTGCTTTGCCCCAAATACAAGATCAATCCAGCTGTGAAGATGCTCCGAGACGTAATTTGACTCGAGCGCACGTCGATTTAATCGTACGAACTCGCGTGGATCGTCATGAGCCCAAGGTGGTAACTTGACGTGCCAGACATCTTCACCACATTGAGTCTTGCCGAAATTGCAATTATTTGCATTGTATAGAAATTCGGGAAGATAGAAAAATTCTGGGATTAGCTCACGGACATCCTGTAAATTATCTCTCGATGCTGACGTCCAGGACGATGGGATACTGCGAAACAGGCGATCAGGATGATCAAAATTGCCTCCTTGTAGCTCAAGTGCCATAGCCGTAAAAGGCTCCAGCCGAATGAGATAATTGATCACGTACGCAGAACACGAATAGTGCGTACCATAGTGAAATGCCGGCGTCTCTAAAGGTCCATTCGTGTCCATCTCTTGGCTCATTCCTGCGAACCGTTCACAGAATTGCGCTGCACGAGCTGGACTTAGTGCTCCCATGGGTTTAGATAAATCACGATATGTACAATAGGCATCCAAATCAAGAAACTCGCTGGTATAATCAGCGATTACCCATGGGAAGACTGGATATTGCGTGATGTCATTAAAGCTGCGGCCAGCTAATGTATTTAGATGTATGAGATACTCAAAGTTTGTAATGAGGCCGCGTAACCATCGCTTTGTGACTGCTTGGCGAATGCGCTTTATTGACGGGACTAAAGCTCCTGTCCTTAGAATTGGGCTCCAGAAGATGCTGTTTATTAATGGCATTTGAAAAAGCGTTTTGACTACTTCTTCGCGATCAATTGATGTCTCAAGCTGCAAAAAATAAGTTGATCCGCATGTATCAAAAAATTCGATTCCGACAGGTCGCAACTGGTACTTCATCCTACAAAATTGCTTGATATTTGAATACTTAATGCTCCAAAACGAACTTTTTGCCGTAGCTACTTGGCCAGCTAGGGGATCATCAGGATTTACGGACAAGTCGAGTACAGGGACGATCGTAAATGCTTGGTCTCCTCTTTTCATCGATGGAGCAAACTGCATGCTTAAATCAACCAACGCGGCTTTTATTAGTCGTTTTGTCATTTTCTTTTTGCTCTCAGATAAATTGTCGCTTGATGTGTGTAGCACCGACTCGGTCGAAAGGCTGTTACATTGATTTGAGGCCAGGCTGTTATGCAGCTTTGTGTATCCACTGATAAAGTAAATCGCATGGCGACAGAGCAAAAAAAGACCAGAAATTCGTCCCATTCCCTGGACATATGCTGCATTAAAGCTACGCAGTGGAGGATAATCTTCTTTTCGAAGAAAGCAGGAAATTGCACCATAAATGGCTTCAAAGGAATTGTCTGACTGCTTTATCTGGTCCACTTTCTTTGACATTGGATCCAGTGTAAGGTCATCGACCGGAGTATCAATAGACACATCCAAAAGTTGCAGGGGTTGGCATTCTGGGCTGTTTTCGCTTGGTATTTCTTGCTTTATCATAACAAGGTCGTCCGAATCATCACTTTCAGTACCCTCAAAACCAAGCTCAATGTCCGATCCATCACAGTCAGCTAAATCGGTGTGAACGGCTTGAGAATTCTCTTGTCGTACGGCATACAAGGCAGATTGGGTCGCTTCTGCATCCGCAGCACCAAAAAGTGTCAGAGGTATTGACTCGACAGATTGTTCTATCGCGTAATTGATATCTCTCACAATCAATGGCGATACGGCGAGTCTGGATTTGCCATCCGAATTCTCAAAAAAGTAGCCGTAAAGTCGTCTGGCTATTTGAAGTATGGATACTGCGTTTGTGAGGTCAATCCCTCGCAAGTCGTCATATAATTGCCGTGTTGCATCCATTCTGCAGTGAACAAGAATACTTTGAAGCGATCGCACACTGCCCTCTGAATTTTTGGCTGCCGCAGCTGCTCTGTAAACTTCCACTGCATCGTGAAACTCCATGCTGCAACATATTAGCCGGTTTTCTGCTGCGTTTTGCGAAGATAGATGTGAAGACTGCGGTAATTTTTCAGTGTATCTAGGTTTATCCTTCTCAACATTACCCATATAACCTTCTTCGCGTGTAGTAGAGATTCGATCTTCGTATGAATAGTCTCGTAAAAGTTTTAGTCGCATTCGTTTCGGCCCCTCTGTTTGATCAAGATAGTAGCCAAATGACTGTCGTTGAAATATGCTTCTTTGTAGCTCAACCTCGGCCGCAAAGTCAGTCGCCGCAGCCCCGACTTGCCACCTTCCTGTCTGCCAAATATTCCGAGTGCTAGCTAAGCGTAACGATAAATCACGCCGCAATAAAAGTCCATCGTTCATCGACTTGAGAGCACTGTTTTTAATACCTGCATATTTTAAAGCTAATTTCTTTGCAACTATTTCGCGTCGACCGGGCTCAAAGCTGTCGGAGACGTCACCTCTTGTCTCATCTTCTGTGCGAAAGGAGATATTCAAGTCAAGACTTAGCTCTGTTTCGCCAGTACCAGCTGAGACCTGCCTGATGCCTATACATGCCGAGAGAACATCCAACATATACCGATACGATGCTTCAGACTTTGAAATGATAGCGTCGTCTAGCAATGTACTTGATTCGGCTATCCAATGTTGAAATTGACTCCAAATCTCTTGGTTTATCGAAGGACCAAAACTTTCTGTGTTATCAGTCAGATGTGAATTTTCTTGAATATGAAGTGCATATAAGAGCCGATCAAAGCCACCATGGAAGAGATCAATCGTTGCGTCTTTTTTAGACGAGGTAATCGTTTGTAACACAGACGTCCGTGGCTCTAAAATCAAAAGTTCTTTGAGCACGTCAAAGCGCTGATCAATTAGAAACTGCCACATCATAATCGCAAAATGGCAAATAGTTGCCGATTCGTCCATGAGCATTCGAAAGAGAACAGACGAAAGAGCAAAAACAAAACAGCGATCAGAATCAGCACCAATGCTAAATTCTTTGTGTGCATTTGCACTTAGACTTCGAACGCGATGCATGAAGTGAAGTGGACGTCCTGAAGGTGCATGACACGATTCAAGGCCACCATTCGCGTCAATAGTAGTACTCTGTGTTTTGATGCCACAACAGACCACACCTTGCCACTTTGGTTGTTGTAAAAGAATGTGCTTCGAATCGATCAAACAGGTTAGTAGATAAGAAGGGTAAGACAAAGTCGTTCCGTGCGCATGATTAAGCTCGATCAGCATCACAGTCTGCGCGCAATATACTAGCACCCCGTAAAAAAACTGTAACTGCTCTACTCCTATGATTTTTGCGTTTGCAGGCAGAGAACACGGTTCACACCAAGAGAGAAAAAGCACGACAACATCAAATCCGAAACACGCGGGAGCGTTCCCATCAGTACATTTGGAATCTGTTTGGGAAACCGTGAATGGGGTAGCTCCCAGCCTTAAGCTGTCTGTGGCTTGATATGATTCTTCAACGTGATGATTTTGTTCACTTGTCAAGTATTGAGCGAGGGCAATGCATGTGGTGATCAGGTTTCTCATAAAAATTAAAGAAATGTTGGTACTCAGCACCTTTCCTCTCTCAAGCACGAATTTTAAAAGCGCTAACCAACATTTCTGTCCTGCCACACGCGAAAAGGCGACCCTGTCCTGCTTAAGACCAGTTTCAACCAGTGATTTCAAAAAGAGCATTATTAAAGACCCAAACTCATCGCCATACAGTGCCTGTGTCATTATGACCTGTATAAGATTGACACAGGCATCAATTATCGACATAGAATTACTAGTTTCGACACCCATTCGTTCAGCTAGTTTCTCAAGCGGATTGTACACACAATTTGATGACTTTGTCGTGCTGGATCCATCCACCACGCTCTTGCTTGGATTGGGATTTTTCGCCTCTGACTGGCAAATATCACTTGTAAAGTCATTCGCAGTGTGGGTACTGCCCAGACAAACAAATATACAATGCGCAAGATTTTGAAACAAATATCCGCTTGATTTGCAAACTGCTGCAAAAAAGGACGAGCTTGCTTTCACATGACCTGCAAAAATTCCCAGCACAGATACAGTCACTTCGCTAGCAGCAGTGCTGCTATTAAACTGACAATTTAGTAATAGTTGTTCTCCGATTAATTCCCACACGTTATCCGCTAACACATTTACATCTGAATTCGATGGTTTTGGACCTGGTGTAATGGCTGAGAGCATACCAAGGTCACTGTAACTTGTATCACCAATTGGAATTCTAAGAACATACGCAAGCAGCGGAATATACATGCAGCAGTTGGTACTGTATTTTCGCAGCACTCGCTTAAGCTTTTGCATTAAATGCGTCTGGCATAGCAAGTGCTCTGCAAAACTCAAGTGAGTCTGGGCAAGTGAAAACAGAATCCGTAGTGTTAATGTAGCTTCCGTTGATGCCCACAGCCCTGTTCCATGACCCTGACCAATCACATCTAGAAACACATCTGCCATACCGTTGACAGAATAATAACACAATCCAAGTTTCGAGACGCAATCAGCTCGAGGTGATCTTAAAGATGGCACATCGAGGCTACTGGCATCATCAAAGCGATATCCATCTCGCTTTTTAATTGTAGGGGCTTTAACGTCGCGATACAATATTGCTTCAACTAGAGTGTCGGATGGTCGCTTTGATGAAGAATGTTGCTTAGCATCCAGATAATCACTGTCTTCAGTATATGCTGTATCATTCTCAATCTCGTGAAGTATAAACTGGAGGAGGATGATCCGGATAGGACTTTCTTTCGCATGCAAGTCGCTGTTTGTCATGGAGACCAGTAGCATTTCGCCCACACCATTAAAGTCGTCCACACAGCTTTCTATGCGTAAGAAAGCTCTGAGCAGAGATAGCACAAACTGTAAAATTGCTTCAAATGTGGGCTCAGCATACTTTGGAAAGCACCATTTCATCTCAAGTCCAGCATCTTGATCCATTTCGCACGGCTCGTTCCCCAGCTCTGTCAGGTACATCAGGAGCCACTGAAATAGACCTGCTCGGCGCAGTTGACGAGCATTAAACAATGCGTTCGGATTTGCAGTTACAAGCAAATCCATAAGCAATGATACAAGCTGGCACTGCAGATGATGTGGCAGCTTTTTGTGAAAAACCCCATTCAACAGTACTTGAGATAAAGCTACGGAATCTACAACCACTGGGTGAGCTAGTTTTAGACATTTAGTCGTCTCACCACTACTGGTCGTTGCATAAGGTACTAATCTTCCTGCAACAGCGAGACGCAGGGCGCATCTAAGCATCTTTTCATCCACAAGATTTGCCCGTGTGCATAGGAGTCCAGCAATGAAGGCGTAGCCGTTGGACTCGATGCACTCTGCCAAGCAGGAAGGGTTTTGTCGTAGTATTTTGACCAGCATCTTGAAGACGATATAAAAATCACAATGTCGAGTTGCATGATCCAGCAATGGAAAAATAACCTGCTCAAGGCCACCGAGGGAAGGGAGGGACCGAGCTAAATTGAAGCCATTAAATAGATCACAATTGACGTAATGGACCTGGGTATGACTCAAAATTGGTGAGCTAGACCAATCACTGGAAGAGGTATTCACAGTAAATAAAGTGGCATCATCTGAAAGTTTGCATGTCTGTAGCAATGACTCAAATTCAGCCCCAAAAGAACTCATTGCACACTCGTCGGTGAGGAAATTGCGATATACAGGCACTTTATTGCGGTCTTTACGAAAAGTGTCTATACTTCCCCCAGCTGCAAGTCGCAACCCTTCTGCTAGTTCCACCTTCTTTGCGATCATTGATTCTGCCAAAAACGCAGCTCCAGCAGAGACTGCATCATTTGCTGTGGACGAAGTCACGCTTGCAGCCATGGCAGCAAAGTCACTCCAGTCTCGCCAATGTCGACACGACCGACCTAATTTGATAAGT